CAGAGACTCGAAATTCTGAATTAACTCTTTATTCTGCATCTTTCTTGAGAACTTTTAAGGTGGAACTGGCAGACTGAGCTTCCTTTATTTTTTGGATCAACTCAAGTTGAACAGTCAGGTGGGTCAAACATGTGACACTCTTCAGATCCTGAAGTCGTACCTATTGTGCGGCCTCTATTACCCTGCATTCTGAAACCATCAAGTGAGCTAATATACCTGCACTTTTTCTACTGAGTGCGTTGGCTACTACGTTGCACTTACCCGGGTGATATAAAATGTTGCAATCATAGTCCTTGAGGAGTTATATCTATCTTCTTTGACACATATTTAGATCATTTTGAGTGAATATATGTTTTAAACTCTTATAGTCAGTATAGATATGAAAGGCCTCCCAAGTAATGACGCCAAATCTTCAAGGCGTGATAATTGTGGCAAGTTCTAAGTCATGGGTGGGTAGTTTTTCTCATGACTATTCAACTGTCTGAACCCGTAGACTATGACCTTCCTATACTGCATCAGAACACAACCCAACCCTAGATAGAAGGTATCACTACAAACTGTATATCCATCTGATCCGCTCGGCAAAGCCAACACAAGTGCAGTAGTCAATTGTTTCTTTAGTTATGAAAAACTTCTTTCACAGTCCTCGTTCCACTCAAACTTGACGTTCTTTTTTGTTAGCTGAGTCAGAGGAGCAGCTAGGCTAGAAAATCCTTCCAAAAACCTGCAGTAATAACCTACCACCCTAGAAAGCTACGAATTTCCTTGACTGAGGTCAATTCTTCCCAGTCGAGCATTGCTTCAACTTTTTCGAGGTTCACTGACACTACATCCTTTGATATGATGTGCTCTAGGGTAGTCTGCTCAAGTCAGAACCCACACTTACTCAACTTTGCATACAGTTTCTTCTCTTTGAGAACCTGAAAAACCTGAGTCAGATGGTGAACGTGTTACTCTCTGCATTTAGAATAAATCAAGATATCATCGATAAATACAATGACGAACTGATACAGGAATTATCTGAAAATCCTATTCATTAAATCCATGAAGATGATTGGTGCATTAGTTAGCCCAAATGGTATGATCAAGAACTCATAGTATCTGTACCTACTTCAAAAGGTTGTTTTGGGAATATCTTCTACTCTGATCTTTACCTGATGGTAAATTGAACGCATGTCTATCTTGGAGAAGCTTGAGCGCCCTGTAACTGATCAAAAAGGTCATCGATCCAATGGAGGGGGTACTTGTTCTTGATCGTGATCCCATTTAAACCTCTGTAATTAATACATAACCTCAATGTCCCATATTTTTTTCTTACAAATGTGACTCCCGCACCCCAAGGAAACACACTATATCTGATGAATTCATTGTCCTGCAATTCATTTATCTGTTTTCTCAGCTCCTTCATCTCAACGTGACTCATGCAATAAGGAGCAACTGAAGTAGGCTGGGTGCCTGGCTGAAGGTCTGTGGTGAATTTAACTTCTCTGTCCACTGGCAGTCCATGCAGTTCATCTAGAAATACATCCAAAAAGTCTCGAATTACCAGAATCTCTTGAATACAAATTTCTTTCTTGAGTTTGCCTAATTAGAGAAAACAGTCGGGTTAAAGTACTTGATAATAAGAAAATTTGCTATAAGGGAGTAAATGTTAAAGAATTTTATTAATTTATAAATGACTCCTCATTAGGAGGGTTGAATACAACCATCTTATGAAAACATTCTACGGTGGTGTGATACGTTATTAGCCAGTTCATTTCTAAAATTACATCAAAATCTCCCATGTCAATTTCTATTAGCTCTACACTTAATTTTTTATCTGTTATATCTATGATACAAGTTTTGTATATAATCTCTCCTAGTAGTGTCCTACTCTCAATAGTAGGCACAAACAATATATAATCAAGTCTTTCAGCTAATACATTTAATTTAAATGTAAAAACATGTTAAACAAATGAATGTGACGCATTAGTATAAATCAAAACATGTACAAGATGATTACAAATAGTGTACATATCCTGTATCATGTCTGGGTTAGTTTCTGCATCTTTCTGAGTGAAGTTGTAAACCCTGCCCTAAATAGGAGGTCTACCCTAGTTCTGGTTCCTTGGGCACTCCTTTGCGTAATGCTGGGCATTACCACATAGGTGGTAAGTGTTGTTGAGACGATAGCAGGGTCGGTCCCCATGATCCTTGCCACATGCTGAGGGGGAGCCTGAGTCATCGGCCTAGGTCTCTTGTTCGTTTGAACAGGTGCAATAGGTGCTGGTCTGCGGTGTGGAGCCGAGGGCCTGAGGTTCCCCACTGTTGGAGGAAAAAATGCGAAGATTCCTCTCCACTAATTGTGCCTTGGCCAGAACAGCCGAGTAAGTACTGAGCTCAAACACATATAACTATTGTTTGATTTTAGGATGGAGACCCCATTCTTCCTGCCTTCATCCATCATGCTCTCAGGAGAATACCGGCTCAACTCTAGAAACTTTCGAGTATATTTTGATACACTCATGTCCCCCTGGACCAGGTATGCAAACTCTATTTCCTTCAGATGTCGAAGATGCTCTGGAAGGTATTCTGCATGCAAAGTCGTCAAGAATTGTTCCCAAGTGACTGGAACAGGTAGGGTGGCCTGCTAGAGTTGCCACCAGCAGTCTACCTCTCCCACCAGCATGTAGGTAGTAAGGATGACTCTCTATTCAGGAATCACCCCAAAGAGTCGTGAATGTCTTCTTTATCTCAGCTAACCAGTGCTCAGTCTTTTCAAATGAGGATCCCCCATAAAAGTAGATGAGTTTAGTCTTTTATACCTCTCAATATAGCCTGGGTCCATCATGGGAGGAACTGGATCCCATGGAAGAGAGACTGGATTGTACTGAGGATGGACTAGATGGCCCTGCAGTGGTAATGGATGATACGGTGGATGCACTGAATTGTACTGTGGTGGTGTTGGATGATGCGGTTGGGGCACCGGGCCACACTGTGGTGGTGCCATAGGGTATTATGGCTGAACCACTTGATCATACTATGGTGGTGTCGGGTGGTACTGTGAAGGAGCAGGGTAGTACTAGGGTGGCTCGGGATCCTCTCGCTGTAGGGGTGGCTCAACCTGTGGCAGCGAGGGAGGATCAAGTAGCTCCCTCCTTTCCTTCTGGGCCTGTTGGGTAGCGATGAGTTTCTTTAGCATCTCAAATAATAGGTCAACATCCTCTCAAAGCGAACCCTCCCAGACTGCTCGGTTTAGTGGGGGTCTTCCTCTCCTCAGCTATTTATACCTGCATTTCACGAGGAATGGTTAAGTAATAGTTCATTATTTTTTGTGTTTCCTAAAGATTTTGTGTAAGAAATGGTTCTGAAGAACGCGACTCTGATACCAACTGTTAACGATCTCGAAAATTTCAAAGGAAATAAATTATAAATTTAGTGCGGAAGCGAACTAAATAGTTGGGATTTACATTCTTTACACAATAACTGAAAGTACCAAATAAGGCTTACGGGAATAACCATTCTAAAAGAGCAATTAATAATAAAGAAATAAATTAAAAATAAACACACTGAACGTCCTACTCGCAATCCTCTTATGGATCGGACTTTGGATCCTCGTCCTCTTAATCTGAAATTGTTAATGAAAGAATGAACTACACTAGCCCGGTAAGAATATCACACTACTCACCGATACAAAAATAAAAGTTGATAGAAATCATAAAAATAACTAATAGAGCTCTTAATTAAGCAAATTTATTTATCATAAATAAAATTATTTACCGTCTACTTACCGTAATAATATTTACAAAAACAACCTATAGAGTCAATAACATAACATATATCATAATTTCATATGCAATCAGTTGGAACAGTAAATTTTCTCTTTTATCAGCATACTGATATCTATGGGGTCCATAAGGATGTCCCCACTACACGTGAATATTTTTCTTTAACATTTTTAATTAACGGGTTGTCCTCATACCTTGTCCGATATGAGTATCAAATTACCAAATTTCGATACCCTATCCGGCATGAGGCAACGTTCACGATAGAGTTTCCTATGTATCCGGTCCGTCCACCATATCTCAAGATATCCAGTAAGACTTTCGTTTTATCCATTTACTTAATCAAACAATTTTTCATTTACCTTTAATTTTCAGTTTCCCAATTCAACCGTAATCATATAAAATAAAGTAAAACATGCATAAAAGGAATACAATCGCATCCCAGTTTTCTAATTTAACTGTAATCACATAAGTCAAGCAATACATGCATTCAAAACTATAAAATCAATCAATCAGGTATTAGTTGTTTATTTTTAATCTATTTCTTTGGTTATTAGTTGTTCGTTTAGAATATTATTCTCATAAGCCCTATTTGGTACTTTCAGTTATTGTGTAATAAATGTAAACCCTAACTATTTATTTCGCTTCCGTACTAAATTTATAATTTATTTCTTTTAGAATTTTCATGGTCGTTACATCATTTTTGTTCATCTATAAATAATAATTATTTACACCATGTGTTAATACAATTTTTGTAGATTCAAACCAAATTATTTAGTCAAATTTTTATTTCAAGACATTTATAAATATAGATTATTCTTTTTATTATATATTTGACTATTTGGCTGTTTGATAAATTTTTTGTAGTTTGCTATAGTTTACTTATACTTTGGAAATATTTAAATTATTATTTGTTACCATTTAATTATAAATTATTATCAATGAATTATTATAGTCTTAAATATTAATAATAATAAATAAATATGAAAATATAAATTATAAACAATAATAAAATAAAACAAAATTTCTTAAACTACAAAAATTAAATTTGAAGAATTAAATTTAATTATTTGCAAAGAAGGTTAAACAAAAAAGGATTTTTTAAGCGACCAGGTCCGAGTGACATGGTTTAAGGAGATATTCGTAGCGTACATGTTGCAGATCGAACCGTCGATAGCGAAGGTCCAGAAATACTAACCCTAAACTCGACCGTAGCCAAACACAGCCCATGGTTTTCATTAGTCCCAATCCCAATTTCTAGGGCTTAAGCCTTTGCAGATTCTTCTCATAGCTCTCGTCTTCTCATCAACCTACAAGCACCCAGCACAGCGAATCAGAGTAAAAGTATAGATGACGCCGCCTCTAGGTCCATACTCCGGCACCAGCACTCTGGCTCTGGTAAATTTTCTCATCATCCTTCTGTTTGCTGCCCTAGGAAATGGAGGAAAACGAGCGTGAAATTCTAACAAAGATCTCAGATCTCGATTGATTCCATTAAATTCCCCCTTCTAAGAAATCAAATCAGTTTGTAATTAGAATTTAATATCAACAGTAATTTGATGAGACTTTTTTTGTTTGGTCTTTTGGCCAATAGGTGGCTCGTGCATCTGCTTTTTCATTTGGTCTCGTCTATGGCAGCATGAAACTCAAGTACCTCAAGGTAGTCTCTTTCATTGCTTAACTTTTAGAAACTTCTAGAAACTTATGGCATTGTTGTGATGCATTCTTTGTGGTTAGATGTGTAATGCATTTCAGAAGTTTATAAGTTCATTTGATGAATCCCGGGTGAGATTATTGGTAATGCAGAGTGAATTGATGTGTCTTTCTACCTTATATTGGAATTCGGAGTTTCGTTAGTTAAGAATATGGCTCAAACTTCTTATTAGCTGATTGAATTTCATCCCTAAACCTAGCTGATTTTGAAGTAACCTGCTGATTGATTATAGTTTCTTGTTAGGTAACAGAGGTAATTCCATATTATATAGATTACTTTACGTTTAATCTGCTGGAAATATGCGTTGAGAAATGTGATTAATGCCTTATTCCAACTGAACTTGGTCCAGCGGAAGTTATTATTTTGTTCAACTGCCGGGGCTTTTCATGGAGTCTATCTGTGGGCTTCAAGATATTCACTATCAAATGCCTGAATGACTACGAGTGTGTGAAGTGGAGTGTTTTGTTTGGTTTTGTTTTCCGAAAAGGGTACCAATATTCAGAACCCTGCTTCAGGTGGAGAGCCAAAGACTCTTAACCTTCATGCTCCCCTTCTGTTTATTTTTCTTATTGTCTGTTTGTTTTTGGTAGAAAAACATCTGTTGGCTGATGTAACAAGAAAATGTAGTTAACACTATTTCTGTTTGCCATAACTTCATGAAACTACGTTTTACTATAATTATCTTTTCTATCTGTTTTCAAACTCATATCCTATGTGCTTATACTTCTCAAAAAGAACCCAAAATTTATAACACTGCTTTGGTTCCTCCTGCAGGCGAAAGCAAAGTCTCAGAAGAAAGCTGAAGCAAAGGCGCATCATTGAGAATGTGGTTTCAATTTGAAGCTGTGGGATCTGGATGAATTCTTTGGATTTGAGTTAGATATAGAAATAATGCATCACAGCTTGGAATTCTACCATGTTCCCATTTTGGCCTGATCAGTATTATAGACCTGAACCTTTCATCTTTGCAATTTTTTGTACTTGCTTAGTCATTCGAGAATTATTCAATTAGTTGCGGATGGCCCATGCCATTGATGTTTTAGTTTCAAAGCTCGGGTGAAAAATGGGGATACTCCTTCCCTTATCCAAATAATACTCTTTCAATTACTTTTTGGCTTGAAAAATCTGTCATGCTTCTTGTCATTCATTTCCGCATCGATTGACCTTGCAGTAATGGAATGGGATACTGTGACATCATTCCATTTGAAAAAAAAAGTGTTTCTATAGTTTAGTCCATGAATTCTTCATCAGGCCTCAGCCTGAGCTTGTTGATGGCGTTGGCATGAAGGATTGTTGGTGTGGTGGTTTTCAGCTCAGAAGTATCTGTCATTTTCTTTTGAAGGACTGAAATTTTTGTGCTAAATGTGGGCATCCTGCATCTAGCTATATTTGTGAATGGAGACTTGAATAAGGAGCGGTAGCATGTAAAGTTTAGAATCCCCACTCTGTTCATGTTATCTTTTTTGTTTTTGCAAAACATGATTAGGTGATATTAATTGAGTTTGGTTTAGAATTGGTTTATTCCCAATATTTTATATAGCAAAGGGAAGAAAGTTTTACCTTGTTAATTTAAATCTGCAGTAGGAAATATAAAATAATTGATTAATTATTCTTTTAAAAATTTACTTAATATAAATATAATATTATTTTGTTGTTAACTACAAACTAAATAAAACAGCTGGAACACATTTACACCAAGTGGTTTACTTTTTCATATTCTTCTCTAGGAGGTTAAAGATTGGAATGTTCTGAAAAAAAAGTACTGACTTCGACACAAGGAACAATTTCACAAGAACTTCTCTAAAGTTTTTGTACATTTTTCATGGCTAGTACTTTGCATTGATGTAAAAAATGTTCCGAACAGAATTGAAAAAAAAAATTCTACAAATATTATCGAGACTGAGTGTTTTTTGTTGGATACTAACAAATGTTTACATGATAGGAGTAAAATTTCTCAACTTCCAGAGAATCCATCAAGCTGGCTTTGACATTTGACAGTAGATGTAGCAGACAACCACACCCAGAGCAGATGGCAAAGTCTCAATATCTTCGAAAGGGATATAGTTTAAACATAAGAGTGCTGGAGCGAGTGGAAGACTAAAAGTAACATCCTTGTTAGCCACCTATTAGAGCTAATCATCTACATCCAGCAAAATGATCGTACATTAGGCAATTCATTAATATTAACCCCTCCCCCCAAAAACAATTTTGACTCCTTATGTTTGATACTTAAAAGAAAACCCACATTGAAAATGAAACATAATACTACAAAGTATGACATGGGTTTGAAAAATAATAGTACAAAACTATTCATAATTTCACTAGTTTCTAAATTTTGTTTTCATTTCAACAACTAGAAATATTTTTATATATATTTATGAGTATACCAATAAATATAGGCAAATAGTAATTTAGACATAACCATCCTCGTAAGACAGAATAGATCCAGAGCAGAAACCCTAGATTCAACGCATTTCGTACCAACAAAACTTATGATTCTGGATAATGGAAATTACCATTGATATACCCAAGTTTGTGTTCTAACTTCAACTTCTGTTTAACTTGGAGTCAGATTTTAAGGTTATGCAAATTTATTAAAACTCATCACTGAGACACATTGCATATGTATGACTACTATACCTATATATGTAGGCTCGTATAGATACAAAATCCTTGAGGGTAATTAAGCTATTGGGGACAAATTCAAATTTCATTTCAATAGGGAAAGCAATATTCTAGCCTATAAACTAGAACTATTGGCATTCAAACACTCATCTCAAGATTCTTCTAAAGTGTTAAGTCAATATATCAAAGTGAGTAGGCGCAGTCGCACTGAACCTAAACTGAGAAAAGTATAGGAATCACCTCTAACAACATGAGATGATGCTCAGCACAAAGCATTTGAACAGCTGCTGCTTAAGGAGGCAATCACTTCACATAGATAATGTCGTCATCCAGATCATCTCCCTCCCAATCTCTGTCCACTTCAGGTAAGTCAGATGTTCCAAACTGCTCTTCTCCTTCATCTTCTGCACTTTTCTTCTCAGCCTTTATCCTATCTAATATTGCAATCACCTGCAAACACCATAATTAAACGTTACTCTTTCTTGGCCATAGTTGTTCTAAAAGGGACATCTCATAAAATCCCACCAAAGGGGACAAACCAAATCTACATAACCAGCAAGAATCTCAAGGCCTTACACCAGAAGCCCTATCTCGATAATATTTGTTGCCTGATAAACTCACCTCTAGGTCCAAAATCAGATCTCAATCCAGTTTTTCCTATGAATTCATATGGAATAAGATCCCCTAGATCATCTTGATCAAAGAGGTGTGTACAACGAATAGGATAACTTTGATTAAATTGTTATTCTATTCTTATTTAATTCTAAATCCTAGTTATTGATATGTGGAAGTCATGATTTATTATATTTGATGCACAATTGAATGAACTTCACTTATATATTTAATTCCACAATAATGAATTTGTATTTTCCACTAGTTAAAGAAAGAACCACAAAAAAATAAAAAGCTAACTTGAATCGAGTATGCATTACTTGGAACTGGAATACTAGTTTGATTCAGATTTCTATTTCATTTACATTGCATTCTCTCATTATAATACATTCTCATTCTTGCCCTTATATTAAACTATCAAAAATAAATAAAATGGAAAGAAGTGATAAAATCTTACCCTGCTTCCTCTCTCTAAAGATTCATCTTCAATAAACCGAATCTCTGGCGTCAACCTCAACTTCATTCGCTTCCCCAGCTCGCTCCTAACATACTTCGCCTTTGATTTCAACCCTGCAATAGCCACCTCCTTCCCTCTATCATCTCCAAAAACAGATACATACACTTTCACGACCTACATTCACATGTCCAATATAAACAAAACCTATTGCATTACAAACAAAAACAACACTACCTATTAAGAAAAAAAAACCCATTCCCAAACTATAATACTGTCCAGAAATTCTCATTTTTTTCACAATTATGCCAGCGAGCAAATAGCATGGTGCCAAAAAAATTAATTCAAGCACTAAATCTAACTTGAAATACACTAAATTTAGCTCAAAATCTCAAGTAATCGAAAAACTAATGCACATCCAGAAAAGATTTCTTTACATAAGAGCGTATATATGTACATGTAACATGATTGATACCTGTAAATCAGCGGAAACTTCTACATCGCTTATGGTGGTGAGCGAAGAGAGGTAACGGTCGGCGCCTAAGGCAGCTTCTGGTAAGATAGCGTACTGTAATACCTTGTCTGTGAGGAGCATGTCCGAGAGTTCCCTTCTTATCTGCTTTGCCACCATTTTCACTCTCCTCGGATTCGCCATGCATTGTACACTCCCGCCTATCGTCGTATTGGTGCGGAAGCGAATCGAGACCGTTGGTTTCAAGGTGAAGATGCGAGACGAATTGGAACTGAGGGTTGTGATTGGTGTTGGCACAGAGTGGAGGTGATGAGCCGCAAGATAAGGTTGGCGATAGTGGAGAAGTACGTGAGGCATTGCTCTACTGGATTACTCCTCTGCTTCTTCTTCTTCTTCTTCTTCAATTCGTCGAGCTTCTTTTTTGTTTTCTGTTTTAATTCTAAATTTTCCATTTTCAATATCTCTTCTTGTGGATTGAAGAGAGAATTTCAGCGGAGGATCTGGCAAAATATATCTGAGGGTATTTCGGTAAATTCAGTTATGAACTCATTACACCTGTGCCCTAATTAGTGGGCTTGAACCAGTCACTTGGGCTTCTTCTTTATCTTGTTACTGTAATATTTTTTCTCTTTTTTATAGTGTTATATGTATTGATTTATTTTATATATTTTATTTACTATTTTAATTTTTATTTAATAACTAATAAAAAATAAAATTATTTTATAGAAAAAAAAAGCATAATTACTGAATAATAAAAAAAAAAACTTAAATGTGAAATTATTAGAATAATCTCTTAATTAATAGTGTGTTAGTATAATTTTAATTAAATCTCACTGAATTTATTATATTATATTATTAAAGGAAATAAATATTTTATGATAATTTTATATATATAACATATATGTGTTTGTTATTAGAGAAAAACAGTAAGAGTTCGTGACCAGTCAAATAAGTATATGTTATAAAATAAATTAAAGCCATTAAAAAATTAACGTAACGTGGTGGTCAGTTTACTGGATCTCCATCTCTTCTTTCAGAACTTGTTTGAGTTTATTCTAATAATTTAACTAATGAATTTTGGTACTGTCATTG